AGTCGGCGAGAAAGCCACGCACGAAACCGAAAAATAACACGGGGAATGGACGTCCGAGCGATGGCCAGGAGGCGGGGGTCCAGGAAGAGGGCGCTGGGACGGAGCAGAGCACGCCGCCGGAGATCCGGATCCTTGGAGCCCCAGCTGAGGCGGGGCCGGGCCCAACCACGGCCCTCCTGCAGTGGGGCCGGGGCGCCTACCCAGGCCGGAGGGCACCAGCGTTACACCTGCATCGATCCCTGTCAGGCCGATGCCGAGCCCAAGATCGGTGCACACTGAACGGGCCCAGGGAGACGCAAATACATCACACTCACATTCCAGGATACCCAACACTTTGTCACATTTTCCAGATTGTCGTCTTCCCCCCCACTTCCCATATTCTCCCACATGTTCCTGTGGATCGACGATTCGTCCTCTCTGTGTGCTTTGTCCCCTCCGGATGTACGCTTCCCGGATCAAGCCCAGACAGCGTGTACACCCATCCTGGGCCCAGAGCGCGCCTGGCAAGGATCAGTTGTACAGCATGGGGGGCCCAAGAGGTGCCAGTACCGCTGCTCCCCGCCCCGCCTTCGAAGGCCCTCCCGGCCTCGGCTTCGGAGGAGCCTCCTCCTTCCCCCCTCCTCCTCCTCCTCCTCCTCCTCCTCCTCCTCCTCCTCCTCCTCCTCTTCCTCCTCCTCCTCCTCCTTCCCCCCCTCCTCCTCCTCCTCCTCCTCCTCCTCCTCCTCCTCCTCCTCCTCCTCCTCCTCCTCCTCCTCCTGCGGGGGCGCATTGTGACCAGCACTTCGGGGCGAGTCCGGCCGTGGCGGCGCAGGCCTCCCAGGCATGCGAAGAGGAGGCGAGGAAAGCGGTAAGTCGTGCGGGTCCTGCTGCAGGAGGAATGTTCAAGAGTAGTCCGAAAAATTGGCGGGGCACGATTTCGATTGTTTTTTTGTTTGACTCGCTTGGAGTATGTTTTGATTCTGTCTTGCGTTTCCTCCGAAGTCCGCCTGTAGGGGGAGACGCCCGACCTGATGGCAGCGGTATCGGTACCTTTTTCTCCTCGGATCGCTGGCGTCCTCCTAGCAGGGAAGCCCGAAGACCCGGGGGTGCTCAGCGACGTCTTCGCCCGCGTGGGCGGCCCCACGCGGCCCTACGAGCCTCGCGTGGGCACGATGATCATGCCGCGGCGCTTGCGCGCGCGCTTCCGCCGTGTCCCTCTGGAGAATCGGGGCGGCGGGGACGGTCTGTCTTTCATTCGTTCATGCATGCCAGCGGAAACGCGCGCCAATGCCGCGCGCCCCAACCACCCCGCGGCCCGCCAACATGCGGGCCGCTCACACCTTGGAGGTCGTGCGAAGAGAATTATGCACATGCACCGGTCCTGGCAATGCCTATCCTTGACCCAGGATCGGTGCATGTGCTGTCCTGGCCACGGCAGGAGGGCGCATGCACCGATCCTGGGTTCAGGATGGGCCTGGCCAGAATCGGTGCATGTGCATAGTTTCGGGGGCGGAAAAGAGGGGAGTGATGACTAGGGGGGGGCTGGATATCATGGCGTGGGCCATGATATTTCCCCAGATTTCGTGGCGCCTCTTCTTATTCCATTACGTCCCTGGCCCCCCCGCTGGGCCGCGCGCCTGCCGACGGTCATGATTTACCCCCCCCCCCTCTTGGACCCCCCCCTCTTGGCCGCTCCCGATAGTTCTCCTTCCTCCTAGGAGGTGGGTGGAGAACCCCCGCCGACCACGCCTCCTCCTCCTCCTCCTCCTCCTCCTCCTCCTCCTCCTCCTCCTCCCCCTCCTCCCGGAGGGGGAGGCTCCAGCCAGGGAGGCCGCAAGAAGGGGGGCCCACGGTCGACCTCTCTGCGTGGCCGGATGGGGGCAGGGAGAGAGGAGGCACGGCGCGGAGAGGGTCCCCCGGGCAAGGCTCCCAGGCGCTCGGCATCGCTCGGACGCGTGGCATTCTTCCTTCGGCGAGGACCATCGAGGAGCATCCTTGATCAGTTGGCGAAGGAGGGAGGAGGATGCTGAGGATGAGGGGGGAGGGAGACGGACCCCCCCCCTTCGCCCAGACATCCGACGACGTGCTCGCTCTCTCCCTGCGTGCGGGCCCAGGTCCCGCCCTCTTCCCCGTGGGTCCTGCTTTCGCCCCGGACCCATCCTCGGTGGCCCCGAGGCCCGACGACGGGCCCCAGGAGGCTCGGCATCGCTCGGACGCGTGGCATTTTTCCTTCGGCGAGGACCATCGAGGAGCACCCTTGATCAGTCGGCGAGAAAGCCACGCACGAAACCGAAAAAAGCACGGGGAATGGACGTCCGAGCGACGGCGAGGGCGAGGGACCCCCAGTCGGGAAGGCCAGGTTGCTTGTCAGGCGACCTGCTCCACCCAGGGGAAGGGGCGGAAGGCAAAGGGAACGGTCTTTCTTCTTCTCATTTCCCCTCCCTCCCTCCCGCCCCTCCTCTCTCTGCGATTGGAGTACCGTCCCTTGGATGTGCAGCCTAAGTGTCAGACCCTTCGGAGTTTTGGCCTGTAGACGCACACTACAAGCTTCGTCTTTACCCTACTCATTATGTTCCTCCCTCTTCCGTTCTTCTGCTCCTCCTTGCCTTTCCTCCTCCTGTTCTCCCCTCTCCCCCCTATTTTGAATTGTTCTGCCCCCCTCCCCCCCTCCCCGCTCCTCTCGTTTCAAGAGTAGACTGACTCGTGGTCGCCTCACAGGAGCGTGGAAGACGTGGGCGAGGATGCGTACAATCAAGATTCCGCAATTGTAACCAGAGCCCAGTATTCCTACACAGAGTTTCTAAAGCGATACAAATACTGCTCGCGCGTCCTCAGGACATTCGTCTTCCTGCTCCTGATCGGGTTACGCCCTCGTGGTGTCGTCGTTGTCGCATTATCGTAGTTGTTGTAGCCGTCCTCCATGTCATCCTCTGTCTCGCCCTTTCCCTCCAGCTCCTCGTATCCAGGGTATCAGGCATGAGTTGAACTATGCTTCGCAAGTAGGTGGTCTGTATGTCTGCCTCACGGGTTGTCCTTTCCTAGCCTTCTTTCTTATGTCTCCTCTTGCTTCTCTGTCTCCTCGTGCTCCTGATACTCTTGAGCTCTGTCCATCACGTCGGCCTTCCCCGTTCCCTCTCAGAAGAAAACAGTTGCGAGTCTGGGGTTGCTTTTCTTGCTCGATCTTGACAGGTTTGACAGAGCGCTTTCTGCCGCTGCTGGCTGGGAGGGGTATCCAACCGCATGTGGGAACAACCCCAACCGACTGGTGCCAATTGCAACCAACTGGGCCGCTTCTCAACCGGTCGGAAAAATGCCACTTGTTACCTATTACAACCAACCATCTTGAGCCGCGGCATGTCGGAGCCCAGGGTTGCGAGGATGTTTCAGGCTAAACGGGCCGGACCATCTCGCGCGCGGCCTGTCAGATCCCAGAGTTGAGAGGATCTCTCATGCGGAACGGGCCAGACCACCTCGCGCGCGGCATGTCGGAGCCCAGAATTGCGAGGATTGTAGAAACGAAATGGGCTTGACCACCTCGCGCGCGGCATGTCGGAGCCCAGAGTTGCGAGGATACCTCAGGCGAAAAGGGTTGGACCACCTCGCGCGCGGCATGTCGGAGCCCAGTGTTGAGAGGATGTTATAGGCGCAACGGGCCAGACCCCCTCGCGCGCGGCATGTCGGAGCCCAGAGTTGTGAGGATGTTACAGGCGAGAGGTGCTTGACCACCTCGCGCGCGGCATGTCGGAGCCCAGAGTTGCGAGGATACCTCAGGCGAAAAGGGTTGGACCTCCTCGCGCGCGGCATGTCGGAGCGCAGTGTTGCGACGATGCCTCAGGCGAAACAGGCCAGATCACCTCGCGTGGGACATGTCGGAGCCCAGGGCTGCGAGGATTTACAAACGAAATGGACTGGACCACCTCGCGCGCGTCATGTCGGAGCCCAGAGTTGCGAGGATGTTTTAGGCAAAACGCGCCGGACCACCTCGCGCGCGGCATGTGGAATCCCAGAGATGCGAGGATGTTTCAGGCGAAACGGGACGGACCACCTCGCGCGCGGCATGTCGGAGCCCAGAGTTGCGAAGGTGTTTCAGGCGAAACGGCCCAATCCACGACGATTCGGAAGCGAGATTTCTGAGGTGCCTCGGTCGAAACGGGCCAGACCACATCGGAATGCTGAGGATGTCCGTGTGCGGGGGTCCCCGCGGCGGAGTTCGTTTCATGTCGCAGTAGGCCCCCAGTCGGCACGGCTGTTTTCTGAACAGAGGCCATGTGAGTGTCGGAGGGGCTCTGGCGTTCGAGCCGATCTTTCGATCCAGGGCTCGGCTGTTGTTGCCCCTAATCTTTCACTTTCCTCCTCCTCCTCCTCCTCCTCCCTTGCCTCCTCATTTCCGCCGTTCTCGCCCTCCGTTTTCTTCTCGTCTTCCTTCCTCCTTTCTCCTCCTCCCGGTCGCCGTTCGCGGATCAGAGAGTCTACACGTCTCTCTGCGGCCTCTTCTCATGGGGTTGTTGCCGTACAGTCGGGGCGCTGAAGAAGGAACCCTTTTCGTTGTGGAAGGGTTCGGTGTTCCTTGATTGCTGTACAGTTTGCCCTAGGTTTTCCTGATATTTCCCATGGGAGATTCAAGTTTAACTTCTGGAAATAAGGGGCCTCGTCCCCGACTGGAGCGCGATGGCTGCAGCAGGGGAAGGGGGAACTCAACTGTGAGTGCGCTCCATGTGCACCAGGCCAAGCGTCCAGGGGACGCAAGCACGGCTGAACGCCCGCGGGTCATCGCCGGGCCCCACCTCCACACAGAACCAAAACGCACCCTGTCGCCAACCGAGTCGGCATATTGGGCCTCCTGTCTCTGGGGTGTACCTTTCCCGACCTGTGGAGCCTGGCGCCCGCGCGCCAGAGCCACGCACCCGCCGCCCGTGCCGGCGTGCGCCCGACCGGCGAACCGCTGCAAGCGGGGCGGCGGACCATCAACTCCGGGCACGTCATCGGGGACAACCTCTGGCTCTGGCGCGCCGACCACGTGGACGGCGGCGGCCTCGTCCGAGGTCGGGGGGCGCGAACGGGCCGCCTGTCGCCGACCCTGGCCTTGCCAAGCCTTGGCCCTTGAAGCATGATCGGTGTCGTTTTTTTTTTTGTGTGTGTGTGCGTGTGTGCGTGTGTGTGTGTGCGTGTGTGCGTGTGTGTGTGTGTGTGAGAGTGTGTGCGTGTGTGTGTGTGTGCGTGTGTGCGTGTGCGTGTGCGTGTGCGTGTGAGTGTGTGTGTGTGTGCGTGTTTGTGCTTGCCGCCCACGTCCGGTCGCCCAGCGCGGCCGTCCTTCCGAGAAGTCGTGCGGAATTCGCAGCACGTCGTATCCCATTCTAGCTTCCGCTGTGGTGATGGCACTCGGCCAGCGGAGGTGTAAAACGCGCGCGCGCGTGTGTATGTGTGTATGTGTGTGTTTGTGTCTGTTTGTGTGTGTGTGTGTTTGTCTCCTTCGTCTCCGCCCTGTCGCTGTGCGCAGGACCGCGACTCCAAAAAGTGTGTGCATATCCCTCTTTCAGTCCTTCGACGGCTTTCCCTTCACCTCCTCTCACGCTTCGCCCACGGCAGCAACCCGCTCGCTCTTTGGACGCGCGCTCCTTGCGGTCGCTTGGTGCCTCTTGTCCGATGAGCCACCACCGGTCCCGCGACAGGAGGTTGAGGAGGAGTTGGAGGAGTTGGAGGAGTTGGATGAGGAGGAGGAGGAGGAGGAGGAGGGGGAGAACGAGGAGGAGAAAGAGGAGGAGGAGGAGGAGGAGGAGGAGGAGAACAAGCAGGAGAACAAGGAGGATAAACATGAGGAGACAAATGAGGAGGAGGAGGGGGAGGACAGCGACGCAGGGTTTTTGTTCAAAGGCACGTTGCATGGTAGAGCATCCAAGCAATCATATTCGTAGATCTGTGGGCGGCGCCGTGGGGGCCGCCGCGGCCGGGGCCCGCTCGTGGTCCTCGGCAGCTCGGAGCCATGATTTCTGGAAGCGCGCTGGAAACGGCTCTGCTTTGGCACTTGAAGCAAACACGTTTTGTTGTGGAGTCAATAATTAGTTCGATGCTCGTTTTGGGGACCTTCCTGGGGGCCACCTAATGGATCTGTCTCAGGTTCGACTCAAGTTCGACTCAGAGTCGACTCAGGTTCGACTCAGATTCGACTCAAGTTCGACTCATGTTCGACTCAGGTTCGACTCAGGTTCGACGTAGCTTCGACGCACGAGTGGAGCGAGTGGCTCCAGGAAGGTCCCCAGAATGAGCATCTAAAATTCGGTTTTTGTTGATTCAAAAGTCTATGTTGTGGGCAGTAGAGCGTTTTGCAGGAGTCCGCGACGCTGGCGCTGTTGAGTCAAGTGTCGGGTGCGTTCCGGAATTGAACTTTCTGTCCCCTCTGGTTATGATGTTCCAACCTGCTCTAGCCTTGACCACCAGAAAGAATCTCGAGCACCAAAGAGGTTCAGAAATTTGAAGGTTTCACGCGTCGGGTCCCGGGAGGCGATACTCGTTCGACACTCGGGGCTCAAGAGACGGGGGTCAATGCAGAAAGTGCGCCAGTGGATTTCCCTGAATACACAAAAGGGGGGGGGGTCCAGAACCCCCCCCCCCCCCCCCCTCCAAGGGGGGGGGGGTCCGACCCCCTCCCTCCCCTGTGCGCCGGAAAGGACGCCGGGTAGGGGCGGCTTCTCTCGCTTCTCTTTTCTGCGCCGGAGAAGTTGTGTAGGAAGTGCGGAGTTGGGAGTAGGGAGTGGTGAGTAGTGAGTAATAGTTAGTGCGTAATGAGTAATGAGTATTGGGTAGTGATTCGTGGGTGGTTAGTGGCGAGTAGCGAATAGGGAGTAGTGAGTGTGGAGTAGTGAGTAGTGAGTAGTGAGTAGTGTGTGCTGATAAGCGAGTAGTGAGTGGCGAGTAGTGAGTAGTGAGTAGTGAGTAGCGAGTAGCGAGTAGTGAGTGCTGAGTAGGGAGTAGGGAGTAATGAGTAGTGGGTAGTGAATAGTGGGTAGTGAGTAGTTGGTGGCGAGTAGTGATTAGTGAGCAGTGAGTAGTGGGTAGTGCGTAGTGCGTAGTGAGTAGTGAGTAGTGAGTAGTGAATAGTGATTAGTGAATAGCGAGTAGCGGGTAGTGAGTAGTGAGTAGTGAGTAGTGTTGAATACATAGTAGTGGGTAGTGGCAGTGGGTAGTGAGTAGCGAGTAGGGAGTAGCGAGTAGTGGTTAGTGAGGCGCGAGTAAGGCAAAGTGAGTAGTGCGTAGTGAGTAGAGAGTAGTCAGTAGTGAGTAGTGGGTAGTGAGTAACGAATAGGGAGTAGTGAGCAGTGAGTAGGGAGTAGGGAGTAGGGAGTAGTGAGCAGTGAGTAGTAAGAAGTGTGTAGCGAATAGTGGGTAGTGAGTTGCGATTAGTGAGAAGAGAGTAGTGTGTAGTGACTAGTGGCTCGTGACTAGTGATTAGTGACATGTGACTAGTGACTAGAGAATATGTAGCGACGAGTGATTAGGGCGTAGTGAGTAGTGAGTAGTGAATAGTGAGTAGCGGGGAGTGAGTAGTGAGTATTGAGTAGCGAGTATGGGAGTAGCGAGTAGTAAGTACTAAGTACTGTGTAGGCAGTATTGTGTAGGGAGTAGGGAGTAGCGAGTAGCGAGTAGCGGGTAGTGGATCGTGATTTGTGGGCAATGAGTACTGAGTAGTGAGTAGTGAGTATTGGATAGTGGGTAGTGGGTAATGAGTAGTTGATATAGTGAGTAGGGAGTCGTGAGTAGTGCTTAGTGAATAGTGAGCATTGAGTAGTGGATAGTGAGGAGTGAGTAGTGAGTAGGGAAGAGGGAAAGGGGAGTGGTGAGTAGGGAGTAGTGAGTAGCGGGTAGTGGGTGGCGGGTAGTGATTAGTGTGAGTAGTGAGTCGTGAGTAGTGAGTAGGGGGTAGTGAGAAGTGAGTAGCGAACAGGGGGTAGTCAGTAGTGGGTAGTGAGTACTGAGTAGTGAGTACTTTTTGGGGCTGGGGTTCGTGGTTGGGGTTAGGGTTAGGGGTTTGGGTTAGGGTGAGGACTAGGGGTAGGGGTGGCGGGGGTCGGGTTCCGGAGTCAGGGGGCGGCGTGGCGAAAGGGAGGGAGGGGGGGGGCTGCGGCCAAAGGGGGGGATGGGAGGGGGGGGGTTCGGATCCCCCCCCCTTTTGAAAGGGGGTGAGGGGGGAAGGGGTTCCCGACGACGGACGAGGAAAGGAGGGGGGGGGGGGTCCCCGACGACGGATCGGGGAAGGGGGGGAGGGGGGGGGGTCCCCGACGACGGATCGAGGAAGGGGGGGGGGGGACCCCACCCCCCCACCCCCCTTTGGGGTTATCCAGCGGCGCACCCTCGTCAATGCAAGCGGGGGTCAGCCAGGGCACCGGATCCTGGAGGATCCTGCGAAGACCCCTTCCGGCTGACCCGGGCTAGCGAGCCGCTCGTGGTCGCGAGACGGCCGCGCACGTTGGCTGACCCGGGTTCGCGAAGACCTGCGGGGCAATTTTGTTTACTGCACTGCAGTGTTTTGTTTCCTGCTGACCCGGGTCTGCGTTGACCCGTGTCAGAAGACCTCCGAGGCATTGTTTCGACCCTTCCCTGGATGCTCGAAGCTGCTGCTGGGATGTGGTCCTCGAGTGCGATGGGAGCA